GCGTGCACTGGCTGGGGGAGGAATCAGATTGAAACTGGCCAAGTTTGCCTCTTGGGCCTCCTAGCAGCTAGCTGTCCGGAGCCTTTAAGTTCCCAAGAGACCTGAAACCCGCCCTGGATTCGGATGGACAGCCATTGGTAAAGCTCAGGCTCCGGAAGATCCTCCCACGCCTGACTTTACCTTGCTCTTCTGGTCTCCGCCCCGCGCAGGTCTATCTGCCCTTTTGCAGTGGCTTTCAGAGGCAGGCCTGTGTAGAGCTGCGGAATGGAGGAGGCTGTGAGCACTCGGTGAGTAGCAGGAAGGCCATGGCTCTGGCCCTGCGAGGAGTGAATAGGCCGCTTTGCGCCAGTTCCAAGGGGTGGGGGTTGGGGAGTGAAGGGCTCTGTTTGTGGGGGGCGGTTTGTGTGATCGGAGGACTGAAGGAGGCGACAGGATCTTTGGCTTGGGGACACTGCGATTCGAATACTACCCTGAAGCTCCATCTTCTGACTGTCCAGTTGGTCTCCCCCTGTCATCTCTGGTCTCCTTCCCCTCGAGTCTCTTCCTGTCCCTGGGGATCCCTTCTGAAAGGCAAGAGTTAAAAAGAGCTCCCAATGCCCCCTTTCTTAGAAGAAAGACGCTGTCCCCATCCGTTCCCAGTACAAGCGGTCTCTTGTCTCTGTTCCTGGCCAGGTCGGCCACTTGTCCTAGCCTCAACTTGAGGAAATCTGACTGTCCTAGGCTTAGTAAAGAATAGGATTGTGTTTTCAGACCTTTCTGTGGCAGAGCATGGAGAAAACGATGGCCATGCTCTCTGCCCTTTGTGCAGTTACCTCCTGTGTCGGGCCCTGCACAAAAGATAAAGAGGGTGGCAGCCCTAGCTCTACAAACTTGTATTTCCCAGTGAGAATTGCTTTGGCTTCAGTGTTAATAGGTTTGGTGTGAACTTACAAAAGTTAGTGTCCTATTTGATATGGGGAACAAGTGGCTTCTCCGCAGAATAACAGGTTTTCTACATTTGTGTAGAGTATGTGTGCTTTGCAGTGGGGAATTCTTTGCGAAGAATTTTTCCTATTCAAACTTATTTTCTTTGTAGCTTGCCCACAAAGGGAAGCGGGCAGGCTTCCCCGGGCTTTCACAACTACTGGAAAAAGTCACTTTTCGTGTATTGTTTTTTTAAATCAATTTCTGTGCCTCTGAATTTTAAGAGTGTTGTCAAGGCCTTGGGGAGTAGATATTTGGTACTCTGCGGTGTTACTTTATGGGTTTTCTAAATGTGGAGCACAGCTCTATCTCTAGACAGTGAAATAGTTCATCAGTGGATGCTGAGAAGGTGGTTTACCTTGATAGTGGAAACTTCTCAGGAATGATCTGGAATATTTGTCCTGTTTTAAATTTTTTTTGTAAGTATTTTTATTCTTTGAGGAGTTCATACATTATATTTTGACCATATCCATCCCCCTCACCTATCTCTTCCTGGATCTACATTCTACCTATTATCAGTCTGCTTAGTGCTATCAATACAACCATGCTTGTTTAGAGAGAGGGTGGAATTTACAGAGATTCACTTGCCTTTGCTGGGGTTAAATGCATGCAAAACCACTCTGGGCTCCACTGGTGTTTGTTCTTAACTTTATTTGAAGATTTTCAGTTAAGCTATAAATAGCATTTGAGTTTTCAGATAGTTGAATAGAAACTGTGATGTGTGTAACTTTTTTGGGGGGTGTTGGGGGAAATAGGCTTTTACTCTCAGACTGTCCTGGAACCTGCTGTGTAGACTAGGATAACCTTGAACTCAGAAAGATCCATTTGCCTCTTCCTGAGTGCTGGGATTAAGGGTATGTGTTACTATATTCAGACATGTGATATGTTCTTAAATAATGCCTACTATCAGGGATATAGAAAGTGTTACTTCCAATCATTCTGGGATTTCAATGTATATTAAAGACCAGCTGAGACATCCAGCCTTATGCACTAAATAACTACCTACCAGATTCTTGGCCTTTTCTTTGAGAGACAGCTATTGTTGGACTAGCCAGATTGGTTACAGCCTATAAGCCATTCTAATAAATTCCTTCTATACACACATATATCTTCATTCTGTTAGTTCTAATCTCTTTAGAGAATCCTTTATCTGGATAAAATCTTGACTTATTCTTCATTGGGAGTTGAATTCTCAGTTGACATACTTGTTCTTTCACTGTCTTCTGGTTTGTATTTATTTTTAGATTAATTTAAGTGTGAAGTGATTACTTATATTCTATGATTAAATAAAATTCAGAAGTCAGATATTGGGGTAAAAACCTAATTGATCAGAGAGGTGACAGAGAATTGACCAGTAACCTCCCTTTCTCTTTTAACCTCATCCCTATTACTTCCTGTCTCTATGTCCTGGGTCCTCCAAAACTTCTAAGGCTAATTCTGCCCGCCCCCCCCCCCCAGTATCTAGCTCTGCCCTCTGATTCAAGTTAAATTTTATTGCTAGTCTCAGGAGTATCAAAGTGCAATCAAAATATCCTGCAACATAGGTATGCATATGAGTATTTTGCCTCCATGCATGTATATACATTGTGACTGAGGGGGCAAGAAGAGGGCACTGGATCACCTAGACCTGAACTTATAGATGGTTGTCACCTTCTATGTGAGTGCTGACAACTCAACTGTTGTCCTTTGCAAGAGCAGCAAGTGCTCTTAACTTCTGAGCCAGCTCTCTAGCCCAAAATTTTTATGAGTATGTTTATAATTGCATCTTGTCTCTGCAGTAGGTGCCTTCATTTTTTTTCCTCCTTTCTTTAAAGTTTTCTTTTCCTCTGCTTTAAGGTGAACTGATGATGGAGGGATCACTGGGGTTTATACTTTTAATTTAATTTGAAAAATTTTGCAACATCGTTCAGATCTTTTTCTATCCCTACCCCCTTTCAAGGAGCCCAGTTACTACTTGCTATTGCCATTCTTGTGCAGCTCTGTTATGTTTTGTTCTGTTACTAGACTTTTTAGTTTGTTCTTACTTATTGATCTGGTGCTCTGTCCTACTAGGATGAAGGCTTGGTACATGTTACTATTTTTCTGGCTAAAAATGTGGAGTCTGAAAGAGAAGGTATGAGACAGTTGCATCTCTATGGATTTTTTTTTTTTTTTTTTTTTTTGGGGGGTTTGTTTTTAGTTTTGAAGCATTCTGTGGTAAAGCATGCGTACCTAAATTTGCTATTTCAACATTTTAAGGATGTAAGTTAAGTACATTTATAATGTCATGCTACCATTTGAGGGTGTCTTTGCAAGTGTCACAGTAGGAAGGGAAGCAAACTTCAAAGAGGTGAGAATGAAAAGTCAGTTCAGATTGATTTTGTCAAACTGGTTCAAACTTGGGAGAAGTCTGATGCCAGGGGGTTATATAATAGAATAATGATAGAATATCCAACATACTAGAATTTGGGAAAACAATTCCAGGCAACAATCATTTCCAGGTTTCCATGAAATAATAAAGTTTAACATGTGGCTACTTAGAAACTCCTTTACAAAAGTACATGTGACCATGAAGATGGGTTCTGTAGCTAAAAGGCCTAGGATCTGGTGTGGTCTCTGAAATAGTATAGAGGTCAGCAGGCCATAAAGTACATGTGACATCTTCCCTATTAACCAGGAGCCAAAGAAAAAAGGCCTAGGGAGGGAGGGTGTGGGATAGGCATTTTTGGTGAGGACACCAGGTCATTAACACCCTACACTATCAGTTTTCTGGGTGGAAAAAAAGAGCTTTGTGCACCTAACAGTCATTACTGCTATCTATACCCTTAACAATTCCTTTTTATGTTTTTGCTTCTTTGAGATAGGGTCTCACTCTGTAGCTCAGGTTGGCCTGGAACTTTTGATCCTTATGGCTCAGCCTCTGACATTTAAGAACAGAGTATAGATATGTGCTACTGTACCCAACATTTCTCATTTCAAATGGAAGTCTGCCAAGGCCCTGGGCTAGAACAGTTTAGGGTAGGGGGAAGGGTATGGAAGCCAGGAAGATCCTGTAACAGATGGGAGAACCTAGTGGCCAGGTTCACTTTGATATGTTAAATAGGCACACCAGCCATTTACCTGACAGGTAATCAACAACTTTAGGCTTGATTAACTGAGAGGTTCAGTGCCCTGGCCATTCTTGCATATGCCAGGGTGTTTGCTTCTTGGCACTCACATCTGGCAGCTCACAGCAGCCTGCAACTGGAGCTCCAGGGGAAACGATACTCTGCGCACACACAAAATATAAAAATTCTTGTTGAAAAACTCAACTTTTGGTATTAGTGGCTTTTTTCCCCCGGATGTTTCAGTTTTTGAGGGTATTGTTTTTTGTTTGTTTTTGTTTTCGTTTTTGGATTACCCATTTCAGGGATTGTTGGTTTAATCTCTATTTTTTCCTAAACTCCATTTTTTTTCATTCATATTTTTTCTCTTGGAAGCTGTCATTTATTGACAGTTACATGTAAGCCAGCCTAGCCTTGAACTGCTGATTCTCCTAATGCTATGTCTTACTAGGATGAAGGCTTGGTACATGTTACTATTTTTCTGGCTAAAAATGTGGAGTCTGAAAGAGAAGGTATGAGCAATCTTTGGGGTGTCTTACAGAAATTGCTGGTCAGTGGAGGACTTTCCAGGCCTTTTCTAATTTAACTTCGGGTGCACTGGACACCCTTCCTGTTGTGAGGTATCACTCGTTGGGCTTTGTGTAATGTGTTATGCTAGCACTAGCGACTCTGTGACCAGGAGGAAGAGCAAGAAGTGCCTACTGACTGCAAAAAGTCAGCCCTGAGAGGCAGAAACAAGTTCCACTTTAATGCAAACCTTGTTCAGCTGCCCAGGCTCTGTCCTTTAAGCTGTTTCCTCCCTAAGGGAGCAGCTCTTGTCACTCAGGCCTCGCTAGCCAATCCAGGGTATTTAAGCAGGCCTTCCAATCATGATCTCCGGCAGGCGGTGATGGGCGGTTTTTTTTCCAGCCTCTGTGGGGCACTCGGTGGCTGAGGGAGGTGTGAGTGGGCTGCGCTGTGAGCGCCGGTACCGGGAACTGTGGGGAGAGAGTGGGCGAGCCCGGAAGCCACGCCATGGTGAGCAAGGGACCACTGTCCCTAGGCGGGAGGAGCAGGGGCTGAACCGTGGGAGCCTGCGTGGCAGGGCCTCCTCGGGATTGAGGCGGGGCTACGTGGTGAGAGGCAACCTAGGCCCCGGACTGCAGCCTCTGGGCAGCTCCGCCCCTCGGCAGAGAGGCTTCACCCTCTGAGTAGGTGGTGTCACATTTGTTGCTAAAGGAGGTCTATTTTCTGTTGACTTACATTCTGGTGCTTGCATTTCCTTTTCAGGTTTAGGATCTGCTTTTGAATTAGTTTTGTGAAAGCTGTAAAGTCTGTCCAATTTTTTGTTGATAGCGTGTTTGCTTTACTCTTTGTTAAACCAGTTACTGTTTTTGTGGGTTTGCTTCTGGCTTTTTTATTCTGCTTATTTATTATTTGTGAAATACTGTGATAATTTGATTATTGTAGTTTTATTGGAATTCTTAAAGTTAGATAGTGTACTGTTTATATTTCAGTATTGTGTTTACTTTTTCTTTCTCTTTTGAGACAGGATCTCATGTATTCTAGGCTGGCCTCAAACTTTATTATCTTAGCTGAGGATGACCTTGAGCTTCTGATCTTGCTACATAAACCCACCTCTGCAGTGCTTGGATTAAGGGTGTGTGTCTATATGCCTTTTGTTGTTTTGTGTGCTTCTGGAAAAGGAACCTAAGGGCTTCATGGTAGTTAAGCACACTACTAGCTCTGCTATAGCTTCCGTCCTTTGTGTTGATTATTCTCAGTATCTCTAGCCTTATAATGTTTAGATCAACTTTGTTATTTTCGACATATATATTCTGAGAATTTGTATTGGGGTGTGATGAATCTGTAGACTGAAATGATAACTCATAATTTTGAGGCTTCCTTTTGAAGGTTATGCAGATCCTTTCACTTATTAAATAGTTTGATTATTTTTTCAATAGAAATGTGTAATTTGTGTCTATAGGATTAGTTACATTACTATACCAAGTCTCACTTTATCTTTGCTGTATAAACTGTGTGGTGGTTTTAATTTCGTACTCTTAACAGTCTCTAGTCCCTTTTCTGGCAGTGGTTTTCATTTTGTTTTGGTTTTTCTTTGCAATTACTAGTATGATGACATGGTTTTTACTACTTGTCTGTTTGATGAACTACATTTTTAAATTTTTTTCCTTTTTTGTGTTGATGGGAATTAAAACATCTATTTGCATAATGCTAGGCATTTGTTTTACTATGGAGCTTTGTTTGCCATCTGAGTTTAAAGGTTTGAATTGACTTTCTGCATCTGCATCTGTCTGCATGGATTCCAGCATGGTTTTGGTATATACATTATTTCCAGACAGACTTTTACTCTGCAGACTAGGTTGGCTTCAAACTCTTGGCAGTTCATTTTCTTCAGCCAGCCAAATGCTGGTGTTACAGGCATACACAACCAATCCTGATAGTTTCCAAGACTATCTTTTAATAATTTCAAAAGTTCACTTGAAAATTCAGGTTGCTAATGTTGAAAGTTTTTGTATTGGTCATTCTTAGGTTTATTTGGTTTGGTATTGCTTTGTTTTTTTCTTTTGTGTTTTAGTGTTATGGTACTGTTGAACTTAAAGTTTAAACTACAATGTGTTTGCCTTTTCAGGGGAAGTTTTATAGAATTAATTCCCTGTCTTAATTGTATGGAAAAGTTGGTGATTAAAATAATTTGAGGCTTAATCTGTCCTTGTATTTAGAGTTAGTGATTTCATTTCTTTGACACATGTAGGCCTACTTATTCTAGCCATCTCTCTTTGTTTGCCTTTTGATGGATTGTTTATTTCAGAGAATTTGTTCATTTCTTCTAAGTTACTGAATATGTAGTCTGGAGTTGTTCATAGGATGCCTTTATGGTTCTTTTAATCTTCATGCTAATGATGGCCCTATTTAATTCTCTCATCCAGGTACTGACCAGGCCTGATCCTGCTTAGGTTCCAAGATCAGGTGAGATCAGGTTTGTTCAGGGTGGTATGGCCATAGATGGCCCTTTATAATTTATTCATTAACTTTTAAAAATGTGGCTGTAAGCTTATCAATTCTATCAGTATTTTTGAAGAGTTAGGTTTTGGAGTTATTGGTTATCTCTTGATTTTCTATTCATACTTTTTTATTCTCTAATTGCTATGTTTTTTGTTTTGTTTTGTTTTTTGCTTGATTTATTCTTCCTCTAACTTCCTATTATGGAAGACTAAATGATTTATTTTTCATTTGTCTTCATTTGTAGTATATGTATTTATTGATTTATTTCTCCCAAACATGGCTTGTGCATTGTGGTACATATTTTCCTAAGATATACTTTAAATTGTTTTGAAATATTTAGATTTCTCTTAAGACTTCTCCTATACTGTGTGTTACTTAAAACTTTGATTTAATTAATCCAGGTTTTCCAGTGTGCTGTCTTTACTTTAGGAATTCTCAGTGTCTACTCTTAAAGGTGCGAAAAGTAGGGGGCATTTGTTCTCTTTCTTTACAGGGTAAAAGTGTCAGGGTGACTACCCCAGAATTTGTATTAGCTTTCCTTTTTATGATTTTTTTTTTTTAGTTGTTTTATCTGCATGTATGTCTGGATTCCTTGGAGCTGGAGTTATAGACAGTTGTGAGCTATCTTGTAGGTGCTGGGAATTGAACTCTTAACAGCTGAGGCACCTCTCTCTGGTCTAGGGATTTGTAATAAGGTTATAGAAATACCTCAAACTATATCTTGGAAGGAACTTTATTGGCTCAGTCAGAAGGACACAGTAAGGTTGATCACTTAGTGTCTTGAGCTCCCTTTCATTACCATAAGTGTCCAGTACAAGCTATATTATCATTATGGTAGGAGAAACTATCCTCAGAGACAGCTACTCTTATTATCAGCATGTAAATTTGATCTAAAACACAGTTCACAGAATCCTAGCACTTGAGGCCAGATTGGTCTATAGCCCAAGTAGTAAGGCAGCCAAGGCTACAAAGAGAAACCCTGTCCAGTTAGCTAAAATAGAGACACTTGTCATTTTCAAGGGAAAGTAAGAGGATCTAGAAATAAATGAAACAGGAGAGGTTTAGAGAAAAACTGTCAATTGGTCTTCCAGCTGGTTTGATATTTAATTTTGGCTATTCACCTTGAAGTGTTTTAAAATATGAGATCTAACTCATGGTAATTTCTCATGATTTCTTCAGTAGGGGACATAGATACTCCTATTTCTGTGTGGGGAGGGGTCAGTGAGTGGTATTTGCAACAGAATCTCTATAGGCCAAGGTTGGCTTCAACTGAGATTTGCCTGCCTCTGCTTGCCAAGTGCTGGGATTGAAGGTGTGTGCCACTGTACCTAGATTTCTTTTTTCCTTAACATGCTAACCTAGGAGTCTTAGATAATGTAACTGACGCTAAATGGGCAGTCTGTTTTAATTGTAACTCATCTAAGGGAAAAGTTGACTGAATTTAAGAGTTTTGGAAACTATCAGAATTGGTACTAAATTCTTAGTTTCCTTTCTAATGCTGTGGTAAATTATGCTGGTAAAAACAACTTTAGGGAATAAAAGGTTTATTCTGCTAATAATTCCAGGTTACAGTTCATTGAGGAGAAAGCAAGGCAGGATCTTGAAGCAGTCACATCCATACTAAAGAGCAGCAGGAGAGTGAATATATGCATGCTTACTTGTATTCAGTCCCTCTTCCTCCATTTATGTAGTCCAGAATCTTCTGCCTAGGAGATGGTGCCACTTACTATGTATGGATCTTTCTGCCTCAGTTAATATAATCAAGGCAGTTCTCCACATTCATTCCCAAAGGCCAATCTGATCAAGATATCCCCCTCATTGAGAATCTTATGATGTGATTAGATTGTGTCAGATTGGCTCTTAAAATGTACCATCCTGGTGACTAAACATTTACTTTCCCAAACCAAAACCTGATGTAATAATAACACCAAATGAAACTGTTAGTCACAAATAACAGTTACAGTACTTTATACATCAAAGGTTAATCCTTCCTAAAATCAGAATTAACCATGCTACATATGATTATAGTTATGGGACTGATAAAAGTGGCCAGAAAGCAAATTAAAATCACAAGATAATGAATTATTTAAAATACTCCAAAACAGTAAAACATTTTGTAGAGTACAAAGTTTTAACAATTGGGAATCAGACTCAGACAACCTAAAGAGTATGCCTTTGAGTCAGAATAATCTGTTTTGAAGATGTGAGATAGCTCAGTTGATTAAATCATGTGCTGCATAAGCCTGAAGATCTGAGTACTAATCCCTGGGAACCACATAAAAACCAGATGTGGTCGAGACAGAAGAATCCACTCAAAGCTGGCCTGGAATAATGCAGTAACAAAAATTGCAGATCCTGCTTCAAGTTGGAAAGCAAGGCCCAGCACTGAAGATTGTCTTGATACCCACATGCATGCTATGGTGGATCTCTCTCAGACAATAGCATCTGGAACTTAATGGCCTATGGCTAGAAGGTTTCCATAATACCAGAAAGTTAAACAAAGGCTTTCCTCCTCATAACTCCAGTCACACCCCATAAGCAAGAATTGGGAAAGCTGGTGCTAAGTCTTCTGGGCCTTGCTATCCATGACCCAAATAGCCCATAAACAGGAATTAGGTAAGTCTCCCAAAAGAGTCTTCTAAGACTTAGTGACATCAGGTATATGCTTTCAGCCTTTTATCTGTATCTATAACAAAAGTCATATGGTTAAAAGTGGCACCACAGCATGACTTTTACAAAGAGTGGTAAAGATTATGACAGTAGCAACTGGAAAGATGAAGAACAGTAGGTGTAGGAGCTAGGAGATAATGGATAAAAGAGTAAGATGGGCATCATAATTGAAAGCAGGTGATATCCTTAGTTGTAGTATAGTTTAAAGCTCCCTGAAGGAACAGGCTTAGGATAAATTCCCTGAAATGACAACAAGGGAATAAGAAATTAGGGCTTGTGTACTTATAGAACCCAGAAAGGTGGAAGGAAAGACGTTGGGGGCTACAGATATGTGAGGGTATGTTTTACTTTGGGCTTCATTAGAAGAGAAGATAGAAATCTCCAAGGGGCTCATAGGAGTAGGGTTTTTGAGCTTCTGTGGGTAGGAAAGCTTTGGTTGGAAGCCCCATAGTTAGGATATCTGTCAGGTCTGGGAAGGTGCCTTGTGCCTACTGACTATAAAATCATTCACATGGGAATTTGTAACTTTGAAGGGGAAATCTTAATGTCCATATAAGACTACTCTCTGATGAGTTATAGTAGTATTTTAATGTGAGACAATATGTCTGTTAGAGGTTAATAAGTCCTCTATGCACTAAAGGGGGATATTCCTTTATGAACACCTCAAGGAAGAAAGAGTTTTTGTTATGGCAAAGAGGTAGGGGCTGCCCATATGCCCTGAGGCAAGACACTCCAGGTGAATAGTTGAATATCTGGGTCAAATGGTCCTGCCATTCAAAGACAAATAAGAACTGAGCATGAGTGGATTAGAATATAGGAGGAAAATCTCCTTACAGTCTAAACTATAAAGCCAGGTGGTATTGGAGTGATTTTTCCTTACAGTGTAAGTAAGAGTGGTTGGGATCACAGTTTAATTTATGGCTCTTAGTCTCGGGATCTTCTTTAGGATCCTTCTGACTCTTCCTGCCATCATAAGAGTTGTAGGGGCATAATTTCATAATGGTTATAAATGTATCAATAAGAAGCTCTAAAGCCTTTTAGGTTTTAGTTTTCAATTTCAGTTTTAGGTTTCTTTTTCTTTTCTTTTTTTTTTTTTTTTTTTTTTTTTTTTTTTTTTTTAGTTTTAGGTTTCAATTGAGCCTTTGAGGAAAGTTATTAGAGTCTTTAATGACTATTTTGACAGAAGTGGTTGTTAGTGAGCATCTGGGACTAGATATGCCTCGCACTTGGATATATAGTAGAGGTAAGGGAGGATGTTTGGGGCTCTAGACAATCCTGGATGTTTATAGGGAGAGGATATGTGTTATTGGTGTTATTTAAAGATCACTGGACCCTTCAGATGTCATAAATGGGACTGGAGGTTGGATGCAGTGTCCCTACCTAGGAAGAGAATCAGGCAGCTGGGTAGAACCAAAAGGAATGAATGAAAAAATGTTTATCATATATGTTAAAAGGTTTAAAGTGTGCTGGTTTGAGTTTGCCATTAATGCTAGGGAGGAAGATTGAGGACAGGAATGTTAAATCAGAAACATAACAAGGAGGAGAATATAGCTTCTGTGTTGGTAGGATAGTCACAGCCCTTGCAATATCTTGGATCATCTGAAGTTCATACATAGAGTCCCGAGGAAAACTTGCGAGCCTGTGTAAACCCAAGGTTGTCTTCAAAGAGGAAGTCCCTTATTGTCCAGGACCAAAGTTAAGGACATCATCAGTTTTCATGTTTAACCCTAGAATGAGATTATTAGATACAGGATGGTTTTCTCGTGCAGGCGGTGCAGTTATGATTCTAATGGTCCTCCAGTTTGTAATTTAGATAGTCCCATAGAAGGTTTATTATAGCTGGGTTATTTTGTGTTCTCACAGTTGAAAAACTGTGATTAACTACAAGGATAATCAGAGTGGCTCACTTGTCCCAAAACTAAGTTCTGAAATGGTTAGGAAATGGAAAGTCACCACAACAAGCCCTTTAATCTCCTGATTTGGCTTTACTGGACTTTGAGTCTTCTTAAATATTAAATAAAGCCTTGAAGGCGGTATCTTTTTAGAAAATAGGAGAAGAGTTTACTGCCATTGTTCTGATTTTTGAAATTTTTATCTAATATCTGAAGAAGATTAATAAAATTTACAGGTAGGTTGCCTTTTCCCTCTTGGTTCTTATGAATCCAGGTTAGTGTATTGATGCATAATTTTAGCCAGCCTGTATTAAAATGAAGAAGAGCAGGGTTCTTGAATGGTTCCTCATTGTTAATGGAGTTGATATCAATTTTTTTTTTCTAGGATACAGAGATCCTGTATTTCTGAGGGTCCTTTCCCCCATTGTTTCCCACGTAGGAGTTCTGATATAATCATTTGAGTTTCCTGTCAAGTACTATAAAGGAACATGTCTTCTCTGTTATCAGGGTTAAGACTGGCTCTCGTCAACTCATCTGTCTGCTAAAGTTTAGGTATGAAACCTCTTTGTATGCATATAACAAGTGGTTAGAAAGATATAAATGGGCACTGGAGAGATGGCTCATTAGTTAGGAGCATTGGTTGCTCTTCCAGAAGACTCTAGTTTCATTGCAAGCACTCACATGGAGGCTCATAACCATCTATAACTCCAGTCCAAGAGGATGTAGTGCCCAGTTATGGTCTCCATGGCCACCACATATGCATATGGTGCACAGATATAAGTATAGGCAAACACTCATATTTACAAAAGTAATATTAGAAGTGTTATTAATATATGGGCCAGATTAGGTTAAGAGACTACAATTAGCCCTTTGAATTCCTTAATGAAGATAGAGGGAAATTTTGGACAAAAGGATCATAGTTGTTAGATTTGGGGCGGATCAGATGGGGAAAGAGACATGTGTCTAGATTGTGCTAAGGTCCCTACTAGCCATCTCACAAACGATATATAAATTGGGTTTTTGAGACGGGATCTCATGATTTAGTTTTGGCCTGGAACATGCTATATTGATTCTCATTTAGAGATGGGCCTGGCTCTGCTTCTTTAGTACTGGAATTAAAGGTATGAACCACCACACCCAATACAAAGAATATTTTCCAAGGGTAAGAGTATGGCTTTTACTTGCTTCCTGAGTTCTCTATGTCAAACTCCTGGGTGAATATGTGTAAGGCGTGTATATCTGGGTTAGTGGGAGGAGTCATAGGAGACTTACAGGTGGAGATAGGCAATTTTCAGAATAAGAGAAATAAAGTCCCTTAGAATTGTAGACTACAGTTAACTGTCTGCCCCCAGCCTACCTGCATCACCTTAAAATACCAACAAAGAATTCCTTTGGCCTGTGTCCATCAATTGTGAATGGGAAGCATATCTTTCTTCAAGGGCCCAAAAGTACTTCCTTAACTTGTCCTGTGATGGACAATAGTAGTCTTTAACTTAAAAACTTTTGGACCTTGTTTGAGAGCCTCCTAAATCAGATACATTTAGATGACTACCACAAGCACCAGAGGTACGAAGGAGAGTTCCTTTGTAAGCCATCAAAATGCTGACAAAACAGCATAAGAAAGATCAATAACAGTCAATCAAAAGGATTATTGAAGACATGTACAAAGAGTTTATTGAAATACTTAAGGAAGCAGTAAGCACACAGAGGGAGTTGCCTAACTGAGAGGGTAAAGGAGTTCTTAATGGAAAGTGATTAAATGTTCTATGATGTGGTCCATATATGGGCAGATATGTGAATATTTTCTCTTGTGGAATAGTAAATTTTGCAGTTTGTTTTTTCCTTTAACCTGGCCATTTTTATAAAGTGCTGCTAAATCTCCAAAGTGTCGAGATTTGCTTTTATTTTTGGCACTTTGTGTCTAGAGCGTAGTTTGAAAGTCTTTGGTGTATGCAAGGCAAGCCATCATGTTACAGTTTGGAAGACTGACAGTTACTAAATACTTGGAGTAGGAGAAAGTTGGAAATTAATTATTGGTGACTACTAATGAGTGGGTTTTAAAATTTCATATGATTTTGGTGGTACTTCTCTTCCCCCTCCCTCTCATCATTCACTACCTCCTTCCCTCCTGAGATGGGAACCTTGATAAAGAGAACAGGCTGTCTTTGAATTCCTTGATGATTCTATATATTGGTCTCGCAAGTAGCTGGGACTGTAAGCACATGTCAACATATCTGACTACATTGCATTCTTTGTAAAAACACATGCCATCTAATTGTTTCATGTTAATTTTTTGTTAGGGTCATGAATCATTCTTGCTAGGGTAATTTCTGGGTGGTATAAATTACTTTTGAGGTTTCTAAATGATGTAATCACACAGAATGGGCTCCATTTCCCCACTTACCAAAAGACAATATGCATGAACTGTTGTCTACCAGAAAAACTCAGTAGACTCATTGCCCCAATCATTGGGGGTAGGGGCTAATTCTCTTGGTACCCATGTATATATAGAACATTCAGAAAGCCAATGTTCAGAAAATTGCTGTGTTTATGTAAGTCATTTAGAATAAGAGAAGTGTTGTTACCATTTATGTTAGTGGGATGTTTCCCACAATCTTAGGTTTCCCAATTCCAGAAAAGGTCACACTTTGTATGTAGAAATATATAAGTAAAAGCAACATCTTGATTACTAATGTTAGCTCTCTTCTGTACATCATTTGGCAGAACTCTGTTATTAGGTACTAGAAAAAAAAAAAAAAAAATAGGGTGACCTAGAAGCACATTCAACTCACAGGCCCAGTAATGAGGAGTGTTCTTGCTCTGCTGTTTCTTTTTTCTTTAATCTCCCCAACCCCTCCCCATGGAGTCAGAGTCTCATAGTATAGTCCTGGCTGATGTACAACTCTCAGTTGCTGTCTTCTTTCTTAATGTCTCAGGGCTAGCACTAAAATTTCAGTTTGAGTGAATAAATACCACAAAATTTTATGGACATCTTATCAATTGAGTATAAATCTCTATATCTGTTAGTCTCATCTGCTCTTTTCTGTATATATTTGGGATGTCTTAGGATTTTTTGGCCTTTGAGGATGTGGCAGTAAAGTTCAGCCAAGAAGAATGGATTTTGCTAGATCATTCTCAGAAGAAACTATACAGAGATGTGATGTTGGAAACCTGCAGTAACCTTACTTCCTTAGGTAAGAATGACACCATGTATTTTGTCAAGGAACCAAGTGTTCCTTGCTTCTATGATTTGGAATTTCGAAAGGGAAGAAATCATGGAATAAACAGGCATGGGTCCCATGTACATAAAACCCAGAAATTTCTTTTTATGTAATTTCTAATAATACATGTCTTTTCTGGGTCTACATTTTAGGCATCATATGGGAAGATGAGAATATTGAAGAGCAGTACAGACATTCTTGGAGATATCTAAGGTAATTTGCATATACAAGTGGAAGAAAGTTTTCCTTGGAAAAACTCTTGATGTGTTATGAAAATTTACAAATAAAGCAAAAGGAGCTGGAGGAAGGGCTCAGTGTTTGAAATGGAGGACCCAGATTCTAGTCCCCACACTTACCTGAAACTCACCATCATCTATTACTCCACTTCTTGGGCATCCAGTATGGTAAACAGACATACATAACAGACAAAACAGCCATGCACATAAAATAAGTAATCATGAAATTTTAAATTAAAAAGGAAAATAAAAGCCAAAACTTTATAACTGACTTATTAGAAAAATTTCCCCCAAAATGCATATTATAGTATATATATTTGAAAAAAATGTTGGAAACAATACTTAGACAATACACCTACACATATATAAAGAGTTATTTATGTATTTCATGTATATGACTGTTTTATCTGCACCTATGTCTGCATACCAAAAGAAGGCTTTGGGTCCCATGGGACTACAGCTATATAGACAGTTGTAAGTCACCATCTGGTTGCTGGGAATTGAACTCAGGACCTCTGGAAGAACAGCCAGTTCTCTTAATTGATGAGCTATCTCTTCAGTCTGTGGGAGCTGTTTTGATAGTAGCTCTTTAGGAGCATATTGTAGAATCATCAGTCCATTTTGTTTGAAACTATTCAGGTGGCAAAAGCTCACACTAAATTTTATAAATAGTTTAAGTCTGGTTAGTAAGCAGAGTCTTTAGTGAAGCAGCCATTGCTAACATGTTTATACTTTACCTTTTTTTTTTTTTTTTTTTTAACAGAAATTACATGGTAGATGCAATCAGTGAGCATAAAGAAGGTGGTCAGTTTCAAGAAACCTATACCTGGATCCGAAATTTCCATAGTAATGCAAACATTTCTACTGGAATAAAACCATTTGAATGTGGTGTGTGTAGAAAAGTTTTCACTTGTCATTCATCCTTTAATGAACACATCATGTCTCACTTGGGGGATAAACCATCTGAACAGAAATATGGTAAGAAGCAATATAAATGTAAAGAATGGAGGGAAACCTTGAACTCATAATGATACATAGGTACCTTAGGAAAGTGAATGTTTTAAAAATATTTTTGTTTTCTAGGTTCATTTGGAATACAGCAACAAAGTCACAGTGGGGAAAAATCCTATAAGAAATGTGCAATGGCCTTCATTTGCCCCTGTTCATTTTCTGTAGATGGAAGAACCAACACTGAAGACAAATGTTATGGATGTATACAATGTGGTAAAGCTCTGAGTTCTTCTAGTTCCCTTCAAAGTCATAAAAGAGTTCATACTGGAGAAAGACTCTATGAGTGTGAAAAATGTGGAAAATCTAGACATCAAAGTTCATTTCAAATACACAAAGTAACTCATATTGGAGGGAAACCCTATGAATGTAAACAATGCGGGAAATCCTTTATATGTCACAATTATCTTCAATTACATGAAATTTTTCATATTGAAGGAAACCCTTATGAATGTAAACAATGCGGAAAAACCCTTTGTTCTCCCAGTTCTCTTCGCTATCATGAAAGGATTCATAATGCAGAAAAAACTTATGTATGCAAACAGTGTGGTAAAGCTTTCAAATGTCAAAGTTACCTTCGAATACATGAAAGAATTCACAATGGTGAGAAATGTTATGACTGCAAACAGTGTAGTAAAGCTTTCAGAAGTCACTGTTCCCTCCAAAGACATAAAATAGCTCATCCTAGGAAAAAACCTTATGCATGTAAACAGTGTGGTAAGTCCTTCACTTATCCTTATTTACTTCAGACACACGAAAGATTTCACAGTGGAGAAAAACCATATAAATGTAAGTTATGCAGTAAAGCCTTTCTTTGTTCTCCTTTTCTTCAAAGACACAAAAGAACTCACACTTGGGGAAAACCTTATAAGTGTAAACAGTGTGGTAAGGCCTTCAGAAGTCACAGTTTCCTTCGATTGCATGCAAGGGATCATACTGTAGAGAAACCTTATAAATGTAAGGTATGTAATAAATCATTTCTATGTCTTCCTTTCCTTCAAAGACATGAAAGAGCTCACACTGAGGAAAAGCTCTTTGAATGTAAGCAATGTAGTAAAATTTTCAGAGATTGGAGTACCTTCCAAATACATGAAAGATCTCATATTGTAGAAAAGCCCTATAAATGTAAGATATGTAGTAAAGCTTTTTTTTATCCCTCTTCCCTGGAAAGACATGAAAAGATTCATAGTGGAGGAAAATACTATGTGCGCAAGTATGCATGTAAACAATGTGTTCAATCCTTCATTTTTCCTTGTTTACTTGAGAGGCATTTAAGAACTCACACCACTGAAAGACCCTATGAATGTAAACATTGCAGTAAAGCATTTAGAAGTCTCATTTATTTTCACATACATAAAAGAACTCACAGTGAAGAAAGACTCTATCCATGTAAACAGAGTGATAAAAGTCTCAGTTGTCCTAGTGCCCTTCAGTTACATGAACTAACTCGTAGTAGAGAAAAACCCTATGCATGTCTACAATTTGAAAACACCGTCAGAAAATTCAGTTATTTTCAAGTACCAGAAAAGTCTCATACTGAAGAAAAAGCTTATGAATGTAAGCAATGTGGTAAAATTCTTGGCTGTGCAAGTTCCCTTCAGCTACATGAAAGAATCCACACTGGGGAGAAATCACATGAATGTAAACAATGTGGTAAAACCTTCACAGTTCTCAGTAGTCTTCAAGTGCATGAAATATCACACAGTCATGAGAAACCCTATGAACTCAAGCAGCGTGGAAAAGTTTTCAGCCCTAGTAATATACATGAAATAAAGAAAGCTGAAGGAAATCCCTGTGAATGTAAGGAGTGTGGCAAGTCCTTTGTTTCTCGATATTTACTTCAAATGCATGAAAGGTCTCATTCTGCAGAGAAACGCTATGAATGTAAGGTATGTGGTAAAACCTTCATTTATCCCTCTTTTCTTCAAAGGCATGAAAGAACGCATACTGGAGAAAAACCGTATGAATGTAAACAGTGTGGTAAGGCCTTCAGAGTTCAGAGTTCCCTTCGATTACATGAACGAACTCATTCTGAGGAAAAACCTTATGAATGTCAACATTGTGGTAAAGCCTTCTGGCGTTTCCCTTCTCTTCAAGTACATGAAAGAATCCATACTGGAGAAAAGCCCTTTGAGTGTAAACAATGTGGCAAAACTTTCAGATGTCACAGCTCCCTTCAAAGACATGAAAGAACTCATAGCCAGGAAAAACCATATGAATGTAAACAGTGTGGTAAGGCCTTTAGATGTCACCGGTCCTTTCAAAGACATGGAAAAACTCATGCTGGAGAGAAGGCCCCATGAATCTGAACAGTGTACAAAAACTTTTAGATGTTGTAATTTCCTTGTAATGTTTGAAAATACTCCTAGGAAGAAAATGTGGTAGTATAAAACAAGTGGTGAAAGCTTTGGGGTTTTGTTGTTGTTAATGGTTTTTGTTTTTGTTTTGTTTTTCTAATCAATAGGAGAAAGACCTATCAGACGTGCTAAGACGTTCAGTTCCCAGCCAGGCATGGTGGTGAATGCCTTTTATCCCATTGCTGGGGAGGCAGAAGCAGGCAGAGCTCACAAGTTCCAGGCTGGCCAGGGCTGCACAAAGAAACCCTGTCTCAAAAGACAAAGCAAAAAAGATTTTCAGTTCCATTTGAAAACTTAAACATCTCTGGTAGAACACCTTGAGGATGAATGTAATGTGAGGTCATCTAATTTTCATACATACTCTTGAATACATGGTAATGCAAGCAAGCATAGTTCTTATAAGAACAGATGTTTGTTTGGAACTAGCTTGGAAAGTAAAGTTTGTAAATTTTACAGTCAAAATTATGAAGACTTGGAAGTAAATCTTAAGCATATATGAATATTATATAGGCTATTAATATATTGTGTTTACCAGTAATTTATGTTTAATAGTGGTCCTGGAAGGGCTTGGTGTGAGCCTGTAGTACTAGCTACTTAGGTGGCTGATGGAAGAGAATTACAAATTCAGGACTTGCCCAAGCAATTTAAGCCCTATCTTGTAATAAAAAGAGGAAGAATACTGGATATGTTGTTCATTAGGTGGAATACTTGCTGGGCACATGTGAAAATGTAAGTTCAGTCCCCAGTACTCTTACCAAAAGAATAAGAAATGTCCCAAAAGAATGAGTTGCCATTTCTTTTAGAGAGGCATACATCGACGTGAAAATTCTTAAGTATAGTCTTCCAACAATAGAGGTGGTTTGTGATATGCACATTATTAGACAATTTTATAACTGAAAGTTGTTGTGTTGTTACTTTTCCCAATGCTGTGATAAAATATTCCAACAAAACAAGCTAGGAGGAGTTTCTTTTGGTTCAGAGGTTGAGTTGTGTCACAGTGTGACATGGCACTGAAGTCACAGCAGGAGAAGCTTGTTGGAGCATGTCACACTGTATCCACAATCAAGCAAAGAGTGATGCTTATTCATGACTTATTAGCTTTCTCCCTTTTATACAGTCTTGAACCCAAACCCAGGGAATAATATCACCTCCTTCAGGGTGAGTCTTCCTGTCTCATCTTAAATCCCTTACAGGCAAGACCAGAAGCTTATCTCCCAGGTTATTATAGGTTTTCTAAAGATGATGCTATCAAGTTTCAGAAATAGAGTATAATCTACTCCAAACGTGCAGTGTATTATTTTACTGCTTGTTTTAGATAGGGGTAACTAAATAGGAAACTGAAAATATTTGATGTAAATATATGAAAGGGTAATGATATAAATGCTACACTTTAAAAGGCCCCATATTGTGAATGGAGTCTTAAAGAATAGATGTTGCTCTGGGTTGTAGTGTGCTGTAGTTTTGTGAATGTTAAGGACAGTACTATATACTAATATCACTACTATTAACTATAAATACTGTAGACATAGATTTTTATTATCTATAAAATGTTGCCTTAGTGAATTAGCTCATAACTTTTTCACTTTGCAAAGTTGAAATTTTTTAATACTTTTCTAGTCACTTATCAGTTTGCAAGTAAGAAATTATGATACCTTAAATTACCTTGTGTTATACAACTTGATTTTAAAAAATTTCTTGCTAATTTACTGAAATGTATTTTATAAATATTGCCTAGTGGATTTTGGTTTGGGATTATCTGCAATGGTCCTAAATGTACTTTTGCCGTTTTGTACTAATTTGTACTAATTTATGTGAAGGGTGCTCAGCATTGATGATTCAACCCTGGAAAAATATTGGTTTTCTATATTCTGCATTCTCATATAATCAGCTAAGATTTGTTACCTGTGTTGGGGGAGTTAAGGGGGGGGGGGGGAGTCTCACTGTATAGCCCTGACTGGCTAGAACTCAGTACGTACCAGGCTGGCCTTGAATTCAGAGATTCACCAGCCTCTGCCTCCTGATCGTTGGGATTAAAAATGAACGCCACAGTCAGGTAAGATTTAATACTTGATTAAAAATAAGTATCTCAATTAGTATGGCAATTTGTAATAAATGCTGTGGTTGTATTTACTAAAGAATGGTTTATAGTAGATTTCTTAAAAAAAATGTTTTAAGTTATAATTATTTTGTGTGTGTGTAAAGAGAAGCAAGATGGCCAGAAGTTGATTCATACACAGTGGAGAGCTGCCAAATAAAAGTTTGTTTCTGTCATGTTGACACCTGGGTATTGTTTTGTTCTATTTGTAGCTCAGAGCATTGAGAGGGTTAGAGTTAAGATTCAAGATTAGGGTTAAGTTTAGAGGAATAGAAATTAGGTTTCAGGTAAGAGAGTTTTTATTATGAATTAGGATAAGTCATTGTGGTACATCTAGAGATTGGGTATTAAAGTTAGGGGTTTAGGTTTTGGTTTTTGCATTATAGATTAATGTTTGGGGTGTGGTTAAGAATATTGTGGTTAGTAGTGTGGTTAAACATGAGGTACAGTGTTCTGTATCTTTAGGGTTTGGGTTGGGATCAGAGTTAGGTTATTATTTGAGTATAGTGTAGTGATAGTGGTAGTTGTTTGGAGTAGGATTGAGGATAGGATTAGGGTTTAGGATTTGGGATGTTAGGTTAATAAGGTTGGCAATAGAGTTCACATTAGTGTAAGAAATTGAGGTTAGGTTTAGAATATAATTAAACATTAGTTTGAAGCAGCAACACATTCTGTCTTCCAAAGAGACTTTTTGTGGTAGCTTGAATAGAAATGACCCCGATAGGTCCATGGAGAATGACACAATTAGGAGGTGGCCTTGTTGGAGTAGGTGTGGCTTTGTTGGAGAAGTGTGTCACTAAGGGGCAGGCTTTGATCTCTGAATTGCTCAAGCCAGGTCTAGTGTGCCATTTTACTTCCTGTTATCTTCTGACATGAATGTAGCCTCAGCTCCTTCAGCACCATATCTACCCGCATGCTGCCATGTTTCCTGCCATGACAGTAATGGTGTAAACCTCTGAAACTCTTCAGTCTAGAAACAAAATTATTAAGCCTGGGAAGATCTCTGCAGGAAAGAGGCAGAATCAAGCTATGGAGAGCAATAGAAACTGCATGGGAAGTACTGCTCTGCATACATGGGGCCTCCAGGATTTGAAGACATCAAAATTAAGTTCTGAGGGAACTGTCAGGAAAGGATTTACAAACCTCCCTCACATGTCAGAACTACGTGGAACATAGGCTAGAGAGCCCAATGTTTCCATTTACCCCCTCTGCCACACAGCACCAGAAAGTATCTGGGAAATGCTTTTCAATTCTGCAGCTGTGTCAGCAATTTTACTCCTTACACATTTTAACAATTCTTTCCATCTATTCTTGAACATGTGTCTCATCATACATTTGTTTACACATTGTTAGGGTCTAGGATTGCTCTGTAGATCTTTTCACCCAAAGATACACTACTACACTTTCACCTACATTTTATCTCTTCATATTTGCATGTAATTTCCTCCTTTATACTTAACCCCTCTTCTTTTGTACTTAAACCAAAAAAAAAAAATCTTATATTTAAGTTTTCAACCTGCATGTTTGTCTTTACCACATGCACGTGACAGCAAAGGCATCATTCTCTAGAAGTTCAATGCCAGACAGTTGTTGGTGGTTATGTAGATGCTGGGAACTAAACCTAGATCCTCTGCAAGAGCAACAAATACTTTTAACCATGGAGTTACCTCTCTAGCCCCCTTTTTCCTTTATAACCATCCAGAGTTATACTGCTGACCTTCTTGGGCATCTGCATTCAAGTGCTACACACAAATTCATACAGGCATTCACACATTAAAAAACTATAAACTAATTCTTAAACTATATCCACTTACTTGTAATATTACCCCAAAATTTCCTTCCCAGCTACTTACCAACTCTGCTTCCTACCCATACCTAATCTTAGTTACTGAGATCTGATGTGGGATGGCCTAGCCCACAGGGTATGACCATCCCTGGACAGGTGAGGATGGGCTGAGAATGAGCTAACATGTGAACTACAGAGCAAGACAGTAATTACTATTGCTTCTTCATGGTTTCTGTTTGATTTCCACCATGACTTCCTCCAATGACAGGTTGTGACCTATGAGTTCAAGGTGAAATAAACTCTTTTCTTCCCAAGTTGCTTTTGGTCAGAGAGGTATTATCACAGCAAGAGGGTGAAATTAGAACATATTAAAGACAAGTAAGTTGACAACCCCTTAGACAAATCTGGGGAAAGGGCAAAGACAACCCAAATTGATAAAATTAGAGCTGAACAGAGAGCCAGATAAACTGAGAAAATCCTAAGTTTACACTTCAAAGATGTATTCCATGAAACTGGAAAATCTTGTAGGAGAAACTGTGGCCAGCCTACCCAAGCTATAAGTGCCCAGACCAGCCTGAACAAGCCTGCCTCCATGCCCAGAGAGTGCTGACGAAGAGACACTTGATCCAGAGACACCAATGAGGAAAGGACATCACAGCAGTCAGCGACCTGAGCCAGTAGGACCTTGGGAGGGGACATAAAGGCAGACCCAACTTCCTTAATAAATGAGTCTGCAGAATGCTCTGATACTCACTGACTCCCGGTGCCTGAGACATTGGTGCTGTCTTCTCACTCCCTCCTCCAAGGGGTGTCCAAGTAGGGTCACCCACAATCTCTAATGAAATGGCTGAATTTCTAGATGCATATGACCTAACATAATTAAACCAGGATGAGACGAATGCAGGCATGGTTCAGTATACGTCTATTATTTGTTGCTACATAAGTGGATTCAAAGGCAGAAATCACTCAGTCATCTCAATAGATGCAGAAAAGGCTTTCTGAGAAAATAACATGTCTCCTTACAATAAAAGTCCTCAAGAAATTCAGATTCAGAATAGGAATATAACTCAAAATAATGAAGTCTGTATGTGATAAGCCTATAGCCAACATTAAAGCATTTCCACAAAAATCGAACAAGACACGGATGTTACACTTTTCCCAATCAATACAGT